TCCTGAACCAAAGACGGCTGTCAAGAATGTGGCCCGGGAATGGAGTTCTGGGTGGCGTACAGTTGGCTCCGGGCATTCAGAATGTGGCCCGGGAATGGAGTTCTGGGAGGTCGAAGAGCACGAAGTGTGTGACTGTTTGCGAAAAACGAGGTTCCGCGGATCCCCCCGGAAATCCCCAACGGCTCCCCAACGGCTGCCCAGACCCCCCTGTGGAGTAATGTGCTGCTCTCTGTTTAGCCCATTAGAAACCTATCAGTCTTCGATGTTAGGTAAAAACGTATATTTTTCGCATGTTCGCATCTTGGGCTTTCACCGCGTCCAAGACGGCCCAAGAGGCCTCCAAGACGGCCTAGGAGACCTCCGGGAGCGCTCCAAGGCTGCGCACGAGTGGCTCAGGACGGCCCCAAGACGGTCCAAGAGAACCCCAAGACGACTTCGAGAGGGGTCCCAGAAGGAGAAAGCCAACCTCGAATTCCGAGCTTCCGGCCCAACATATCCCAGGAGGCGCCAAAACGCCACCCAGAGGCGCCAAAAGGCTTCCAAAATCAGCCCAAGACGTTCCGAGAGGCACCCCAAGAGGTCCAAGAAACAAAAATCGTGCCATTCCTATGGGAAAACGTATATTTTTCGCATGTTCGCATCTTGGGCTTTCACCGCGTCCAAGACGGCCCAAGAGGCCTCCAAGACCGCCCCAAGACGGCCCAAGAAGCTTCCAAGAGGGCCCCAGGACAGCCCAAGAGGGCCCCAAGACGGCCCAAGAGGCGCCCAAGATGGCCCAAGAGGGCCCCAAGACGGGCCCAAGAGGGGGCCCAGAGGGGGACCACGAACCGCAAGCTCGAGCCTTCCGCCCCAAGAGGCCGCCAGGAGGCCCCAAGGAGGCCCCTCAAGAGGCCCCAGGAGACCCCCAAGAGGCCCAAAGGAGGCCCCGAGAAGCCCCAAATCGGCCCCCAAAATGCTTCGAACCTGCTTCCAGGAGGCCACCGACAGGTTCAGAGGCTCCCGAGAAGCTACGTCAAACTCCCAGCGAGCGGCCGGACGAGGCCCCCCACAAAATCACAAGAGGGTTCCAGTATTTGTATCCTTCAGGCTCTCTGGCCTTCTTCCCCCTGCCCCCTTCCCTGCGACTTTCGTTGACTCAAGCTCGCCTCCTAGCTAGAACCTTAGCGCGCGCGAAGCGCGCGCGTGGTTCTAGTATATATATATATATGTATATAAATATATAAATATGCACATATGTGTATTTGTATATGTATCTGTATATGTATCTATGTATGTATACATATATATGGGTGTAGATAAGTATGTCATGGTGTTGGAATGTATTCAACATGGTTCCCGTCCCAGATCCCACTTTTCAGACTCCCGCCAGCGGTTCAGAGAGCGAGCTCGGTCTGGAGCCAGTGCTCCTCAGCGAATGTTCCTCAGACAACATCGTGCGCCTCGTGGGCGCCCCGTGCGCTGGGCGGGCGTGGCGAGGTTCCGCCTGGCGGGCGGCCGTGGGCGCCTCGTGGGCGCCCCGTGCGCTGGGCGGGCGTGGCGAGGCTCCGCTCGGCGGGCGGCCGTGGGCGCCTCGTGGGCCGCCAGCGGTTCAGAGAACGAGCTCGGTCTGGAGCCAGTGTTCTTCAGCGAATGTTCCTCGAACAGCATAGGGTCGGCGTCACCCCAACATACTTATACAATGTGTGCGTCGCCCCCTCAGGGGCGACGCGCGCACCGAGAATTCTCATAGTATATGCGTCGTGGCGGGCGCTTCCTGGCCCCACCGCTCGGGAAACGATCTACTACTAGATGGGTATACTATATGTTTGGGTCGGACGCGCGCCTCCAAGGAGAACATATGGTACTAGTATGTCCTTGTGCGTCCCATAGGGCGCCTCGTGTGCGCCCCGTGCGTTGGGCGGGTGTGGCGAGGTGTCTCCGGGCTGGCGGCCGTGGCGCCTTGTGGGCGCCCCGTGCGCTGGGCGGGCGTGGCGAGGTTCCGCCAGGCGGGCGGCCGTGGGCGCCTCGTGGGCGCCCCGTGCGCTATGGGCGGGCGTGGCGAGGTGCCGCCCGGTGGGCGGCAGTGGGCGTCATCCGCATACAGTCAAGACGCTGAAATGAGGAACAGTTTGGGTTCGGAAGGGGCTCGATGTTCCTCAGGTTCCTCCAGTGCTGTTCCTCTTGCCGCCCTGGGGGTACGGAGGGGAGTACGGAGGCGCTTACGGGGCCAAGAAGGGGCTTCGTTCCTTATTTAGCGTTCCTTCTTTCAGCGGCCCGACTGTAGCTTGCACCACGTAGCTTGCGTCACATCGCTCGCATGTTGTACCACATGGATGGCGCCACCTAGGTTGGACCGCTTAGCTTGTGCCACGCATCTGGTGTTCCAGATATTTACACCACATCTATGCATATAGGCGTATATATGTATATATATATATATATACATCTAACGGCGCACCGGGTCCGGGGGCCCGGGGCCGGGACCTCGACCACAAATGTGGGCCCCGGGGGGCCCGGAGGCTCGTCGGACCGCCAGACGCCGTCCAAGATCGTTCGCAGGCGGCTTCGGAACGCGCTCCGATGGCTCCAGATGCCTTCCAAGACGCCTGTCATGACACCAAGAAGGTCCCAGAAGCCTCCAAGACGCTCCGAGAGGCAGCCCAAGAGAGGCCCAAGAAGCAAAAATCGTGCCATTCCTATGGGAAAACGTATATTTTTCGCATGTTCGCCTCTTGGGCTTTCACCGCGTCCAAGACGGCCCAAGAGGCGCCCAAGACGGTCTACGAGGCCTCCGGGAGCGCTCCAAGGCTGCGCACGAGTGGCCCAGGACGGCCCCAAGACGGCCGAAGAGAGCCCCAAGACGAGTTCGAGAGGGGTCCCAGACGGAGAAAGCCAACCTCGAATTCCGAGCTTCCGGCCCAAGAGGCTCCAGGAGGCGCCAAAATGCCGCCAAGAGGCGCCAAAAAGGCTCCCAAAAGCACCCCAAGACGTTCCGAGAGGCACCCCACGAGAGGTCCAAGAAACAAAAATCTTGCCATTCCTATGGGGAAACGTATATTTTTCGCATGTTCGCATCTTGGGCTTTCACCGCGTCCAAGACGGCCCAAGAGGCCTCCAAGACGGCCTAGGAGGCCTCCGGGAGCGCTCCAAGGCTGCGCACGAGTGGCTCAGGACGGCCCCAAGACGGCCTAAGAGAACCCCAAGACGACTTCGAGAGGGGTCCCAGAAGGAGAAAGCCACTCTCGAATTCCGAGCTTCCGGCCCAACATATCCCAGGAGGCGCCAAAACGCCGCCCAGAGGCGCCAAAAGGCTTCCAAAATCAGCCCAAGACGTTCCGAGAGGCACCCCAAGAGAGGTCCAAGAAACAAAAATCGTGCCATTCCTATGGGAAAACGTATATTTTTCGCATGTTCGCATCTTGGGCTTTCACCGCGTCCAAGACGGCCCAAGAGGCCTCCAAGACCGCCCCAAGACGGCCCAAGAAGCTTCCAAGAGGGCCCCAGGACAGCCCAAGAGGGCCCCAAGACGGCCCAAGAGGCGCCCAAGATGGCCCAAGAGGGCCCCAAGACGGGCCCAAGAGGGGGCCCAGAGGGGGACCACGAACCGCAAGCTCGAGCCTTCCGCCCCAAGAGGCCGCCAGGAGGCCCCAAGGAGGCCCCTCAAGAGGCCCCAGGAGACCCCCAAGAGGCCCAAAGGAGGCCCCGAGAAGCCCCAAATCGGCCCCCAAAATGCTTCGAACCTGCTTCCAGGAGGCCCCCGACAGGTTCAGAGGCTCCCGAGAAGCTACGTCAAACTCCCAGCGAGCGGCCGGACGAGGCCCCCCACAAAATCACAAGAGGGTTCCAGTATTTGTATCCTTCAGCGCTCTCTGGCCTTCTTCCCCCTGCCCCCTTCCCTGCGACTTTCGTTGACTCAAGCTCGCCTCCTAGCTAGAACCTAAGCGCGCGCGAAGCGCGCGCGTGGTTCTAGTAAATGTATATATATATACACACACACATTCGAGCATCTACACATGTACATGTCGCCACAGTTCTTACCCAACATAATTTACGCCACATGGCTTACCCCATATAGCGTTCACATCCGACGTGCCAAAACTCACTACTTGTGGTGCGCGCTTGCCAGCATGTGTCCAGCTCGGTTTACAGCGGTTGTCTGTTTAGGCGGTTTGGCCCTCAGGATCTATTCTCAGGAAGAGTCCCCTCAATGACATTACAGGCTCCAGGCTGGCCCTCAGATGCCGCCAAGCGGCGGGCCCCCAAAGAGGCCCTAAGAGGTTCCGCCGAAGACGGCGGCACGGGAGGGCACGCTCCACCGACGGCCCCAATGGCTGCTTCGCATGCGCACACCGTACAAATTTCGGCACACCCCTCACGCGTTTCGTGGCCACATAGGGAGCTCCACCAACGGCCCCAGTGGCTGCTTTCGCATGCGCCCACCGGACAAATTTCGGCGCACCTCTCACACGTTTCGTGGCCTTATAGGGAGCTCCTCCGAATGCGGTGCATACAACGACGGTGTTCACAACTGCATCTGATTGGGTCCTTCGCCAGGCTACTTAAATTGTATTGAATGTAAATCCGTCCGTGCGCATCTCAAGCATCGGTGCGTTGTGGTCAGGTCCGTCACGGTGGTTGGCTCCAGAGTGAATGCAAGGACCACATAGTGTCAATCTAATGTTCAAATGGGTACCTGAGCAGAACGCTCCAAGATCAGCCTCAGAACCCACACTTCGAGGCTGGCATTGCTCCAGGACGGTTGCTAGGTAATTCCAAGACCAACCAAGACGCCCCACCTCCTGCCAGGAGTTTCCACACATGCGCCGGTGACGCTCCCAAGACGCCCATCATCACTAATCCAACCATCACCATAACAGCTGAAACGCTTTCCACACCCCTGTGACCCTTCACCCCCGCATTCCTCCCCCCCCCCTCCTCTCCCGCAGGCAGCTATCCGCTATCCTGAGCAACAAGCCCCTCTGCCTCCTGTGGATTCTCATCCATGGGTTTTCCCTGGTCAGCTACAGTGCTTGGATCAGCGCGTGCGAGAAAGGCAGGCAGTGGCAGCAGGCGCTGTCGCTGCTCAGGGAGATGTGGGAGTCGGCGTTGAAGCCAAGCACCATCTATGCTGCAATGCAGGCGGCCGTGCGTGCCAGAATGGCGGGCAGGGTCACGCGACTCAAAGGACTCAAAATCCTGCCAGGCGGCCCTTCGGGGCCTCAAAGACGCTTGCGAACAGGCCCCAGATGGCACAATGCCTTCCCGAGCGGGAGACGGGATGTCTCGAGTGAGAGGGGGGGACCACACCACCATGGAGACCCCCCTTGCCTCTGCGCATCTCCTCGCCCTGTTGGTGTTGGTGTCGCCTTTCCTTGTTCCTAACATGGCGCCAACACGGCCTCAGAATCCGTCCAGGCGGCCAACGGCCGCCAGCCTCGACCTCGGAGACGTCGACCTCGTCGGGGCAGCACATCCGGCCCGACCCGCCGTGCCACCTCTAGCCGCCTGGGGGAATAAGGGGGAGCAGGATGACGAAGGGGGGGAGGGATGGAGGGAGGGAGGGAGGGAGGGAAGGAGGGAAGGAGGGAGGATGGAGTGGAGGAGGAGGAGGAGGAGGAGGAGGAGAGGAGGAGGAGGAGGAGGAGGAGGAGGAGAGGAGGAGGAGGAGAGGAAGGAAAACAACATAATAAGAGGACTACTACTACTACTACTACTACTACTACTACTACTACTACTACTACTACTACTACTACTACTACTACTACTACTACTACTACTACTACTACTACTACTACTACTACTACTACTACTACTACTACTACTACTACTACTACTACTACTACTACTACTACTACTACTACTACTACTACTACTACTACTACTACTACTACTACTACTACTACTACTACTACTACTACTACTACTACTACTTCTACTACTACTACTACTACTAATAATAATAATAATAATAACAATAATAATAATACTAATAATAATACTAATAATACTCATAATAATAATACTAATAGTAATAAGAAGAAGAATCATACTACTAAGAATATTCATCATAAGACTAAGGATAATGAGAGGAATAATCATACTACTACCAGTTATAATAATATGCATAATAGTATGAACATTACTACTAATAATACTAATCATACTAATGATAACAAGAGGAGGAGGAGGAGGAGGAGGAGGAGGAGGAGGAGGAGGAGGAGGAGGAGGAGGAGGAGGAGGAGGAGGAGGAGGAGGAGGAGGAGGAGGGGGGCGAGGAAGAAGAAGGTGGACTGGAGGAGGGGTGCGAGGAAGGTCCAGAGGGGAGAAGATGAGGATGGGGAGCCCTAGCGGAGCATCCCTGCCCGGTACAGACACGCAAGTGGCAAGAAGCCCATCAAAACGAAACCATAGCAACTAAAATAACACCGACTGACGAAAACGGCGCAGAGGAAGATGAAGAAGGACGATCACGAAGAGAAGGTGGAACAGGGGAGAGGGAATAAGACGAGGCTCGACGGCAAAGGCAACGGCGACGACAATGGCGGAGCTACCCCACTGCCAGGCCAAGTGTTGCACACGCTGGCTGACGTGGACGGAATCCACCGGTCAGCCCTACTCAGCTACAATGCTGGAATCAGCGCGTGCGAGAAATGCGCGCAGTGGCAGCAGGCGCTTTCCCTACTCAGGGAGCTGTGGGAGGTGAAGCTGGTCCCCAGTGAGATCAGCTACAATGCTGGGATCAGCGCCTGCGATAAGGGCGAGCAGTGGCAGCGGGCACTGGCGCTGCTGAGCGAGATGTCGGATGCGACATTGGAGCCTAGTGCCTTTTGTCGCCCCAAGACGGCCTCCGAGATGGCCCCAAGATGGCCCACGACCGCTTCAAGATGTTCCCAAGGTGCCCCCCCCGACCCCCTTCCAAATCGTCTAAACCAGCACCCTGGGGCCCGAAGGGGCGCCAAGGCCCAGGATGGCCCCACGGGAGCCCAAAACTCCCCGCATGAGGGCTCGAGCAGACCCAACGTTGCTTCCACGAGGCCTCAAGCTTCGCTTCTCGATGTTTGCTCCTCGCTCCGCGCTCCTCGCCCGCTGCTCCTCCCCCTTTCTTCTCGGGCCTCGCTCACCTCTTCCTACTCCTCTGCGCATCTCTCTCCCTGCCCTTCGCTCCTCCCTCTTGGCTACTAGCACGCCCCTCTTCATCCCTCCTCGGCTCTCCCTTCTCCCTCCGTACCTATCTCTCCTCGGCTTCCGCTGCTCCCCTCTCGCTGCTTGTTCCTCGCGTCTCGCTTCTCCCATTTTTGAACCTCTCACGAGCAGCATGCTGCGTCAGCAACAATAAGTAGCTCCAAGCATCACCGTGCAATGCGCACACCAGCAACGAGCAGCAACACGACGCAACAGGCAGCGACACCTTGCAACAGGCAGCAGCGAGGAGAACTGGCCAGCTGCAGCACGCTTCAACCACAAGCGGCAGGGCTACGCGACAGCGGCAAGCATTAACAGCAGCACGCAACAAAGGCAGCAATCGGCAGCACACAATAGCATGCCCGCCGCATCGACCAACACCAAACCGCAGCACGCAACATCGCCAAACCGCAGCGCAGACCGCCTGACAGGGCCCCACGACCGCCCACGAGGCTCCCGTGGCTGCCCAAGATGGGCCCAAGAAAAGGAGCCCGACCTGAAATTCCGCACTTTTCGCTCCGAGATGACCCCCGAAACCGCCAGCAGGCTAAGAGGCCGCCCAGAGGCCCCAAGACACCCCCGCGAGGCCCAGATCGGGCCCAAAGAGGCTCCCGAGAAGCCTTACGACACCCCTACGACCGGCTCCAAGAAACTTCCGATGGAGGATCTCCTGCAGTGCTCTGGGATCGCGCCAGCCGCCCGGAGATTCGGCACCCCGGCGTTGTTTTTTTTTGAGGGGGGGGGGGCTCCGCAGCCGCCCGCCGCAGAGGGCGTGCCCCGTTGTGCCTTTTCTGCCTTCTTCCGAGCGTGCGCGGCCCGCGCGCATCCTCCGATCTCCTCGCACGGCCGCAGCCGCGATGGAACGTCGTAGGAAAAAGGCGCCTATGCGATTCATGGTTTCCAGCCTTGACCCGAACACTGCCCCGAGGCGGCTCAAGACTGTCCCAGATCGGCCGAAGAGGTCCCCTCCCGCAGCCCCATGAGCCCCCGAGGGCCCAGCCGGGCTCCTAGGTAGCCTAAGCAGCCACAAAACAGACATGAGAAGAGTATACTCACCCCAGGAAACCGTTTCTTACAGCTTTCGAAGCAAGTAGCAGCAGCAGCAACCAACGGCAGCAAACAGCAAACCAGCAAGCCAGCAATCAAGCAAGCAGCAAGAAGCAAGCATTAAGCCAGCCAGCCATCCAGCCAGCCAGCAAGCAAGCAGAAAGCAAGCAACAAGCCAATCCTTCTCTCGATCCTGACTCCTCGTTCTTCGATCCTCCAGGCGACAGGTTGTGTCAGAACGTTGAAATAGCGAGACGCGTCATCTTGCAGTATTAAGCAGCGGCAGCAGCGAACGGCAGCAGCGCGAAAGGGGTAGCAGCAACGGGATCGCACAGCAACTGCAGCAGCAGGCAGCGGGCAGCAGCAGGCACAAAGCAGAGCTGGCCCATCAGCAGCACCCTGCAGCTACAAGCAGCAACGGAACGCAGCGGCGGTAAGCATGGCAAGCCGCACGCAGCAGCAGTAGCAAGCAGCAGCACGCAGTAGATGCGCGGAGTGCGAAGTTCGAACCCCGCGTCATCAGACCAGCCCTTTGCAGCATGTCCACCATCACGTGCCACTTCGTGCAGATTTCGTGGACGTAGTCCACGGGTCAGCCCTAGTTTCTCTTACGCTGTAGGCATCAGCTACAACACTGGGATCAGCGCGTGCGGGAACAGCGAGCAGTGGCAGCGGGCTCTGGCGTTGCTGAGCGAGATGTGGGAGACGAAGCTGACACCCAACGTCATCTCTACTACAGTCGGACCGAAGTATAAGATCGAGGTTGGCTCGGGGAGGGTGCCCTAATGTTCTTCGTGCTTGTTGGTTGTTCTCGTGCATCCTGGGGAGGGAACCCTTGGATGTTCTGTGTGTTTTGGCCGGCGGAGATTCTCGTGTTCTTGGGGGGTGTTCTTCTGTCTTAGGTCCGGCTGTCCATTGCAGGGGCCCGCGTGGGCGGGAAGGGCGGGCAGGTCTCCCCGGCCCAGCCTTAGGTCGGGCGTGTTCCCCTACAGGCGGATTTTGAACGAAAAACGAAAATTAGCCTGGCGAAGGACCCAACCATATGCAACTGTGCGAACCGCAATTGTGAATACCGTATTCAGTGGAGCTCCCTGTGGGGCCGCGAAACGTGTGAGGGGTGTGCCGAAATCTGTGAGGCGGACGCATGCGGGCGGTGGCTGGGGCATTCGGTGGAGCTCCGTATGGGGCCGCGAAACGTGTGAATGGTGTGCCGAAGTTGGTGTGGCGGACGCATGCGGTCGGCGGCACTGTGGCATTCGGTGGAGCTCGCTATAGGGCCAGGAAGCGTGTGGGGCGTGCGCCGACACGCCCCAAGACGCCTCAGGAGGCCCTCATCAGCCCCTCACGACGGCCCCAGACGGCCCCAGGACGATTCCTGTGGCGCCCATGAGAGCCCAAGAACACCCAAGACAGCCCGCCAAAGATGGCCCGAGAGGGCCGCCAGACGGTCCCAAGACGGCCCCACAGGCGCCCAAGACGGCCCCAGACGGCTCCCCAATGCACCCAAGACGGCCCAAGAGGGCCCCAAGAGGCCCCCAGGAGGCCACAAGACGGCCCAAGAGGGCCTCAAGAGGCCCCCAGGAGGCCGAAAGGAAAAGACACCCCGAGAGGCCCCTAAACAGTTCCCAAGGAGACGGAAGCGTCCGCCATCAGGCTTCGAAAAAGCAACTGGAAATTAGCCTGGCGAAGAACCCAACCATATGCAGTTGTCAGTACCGCAGCTGCGGGTTTCATCTTCAATGGAACTCCCCATAGGATTACGGAACGTGTGAGGGGTGTGCCGAGATGGGTGCCACTGGGGCATTCGGCGAAGCTCCCTATGGGGACATGAAACACTCGCGGGGCGTGCCGACATGGGTGGCGGAAACGCATGTGCGGGCCGCCACTGGCGCCGCCGCTGGGGCCTTCGGTGCAGCTCTCTATGGGGCCACGAAACGTGTGAGGGGTGTGCCGAATTGGGTGCGGGTGGTGACGCATGCGGGCGGCAGCACTGGGGCCTTCGGTGGAGCTCCCTATGGGGCCACGAAGCCTGTTGTTGTGAGGGGCGTGCCGGAATGGGTGGCGGGGACGCATGTGAGCGCGGCCGCTGGGGCCTTCGGTGGAGCTCCCTATGGGGCCACGAAACGTGTGAGGGGTGTGCCGAATTGGGTGGGTGTGGGTGACGCATGTGAGCGCCGCCACTGGGGCCTCCGGTGGATGATGGGGCCACGAAACCTGTCAGGGATGTGCCGAAATGGGTGCGCGGGACGCATGCGCATGTGAGCGCCGCCACTGAGGCCTTCGGTGGAGCTCCCTATGGGGCCACGAAATGTGTGAGGGGTGTGCCGAATTGGGTGTGCGTGACGCATGCGGGCGGCAGCACTGGGGCCTTCGGTGGAGCTTCCTATGGGGCCACGAAACGCGTAAGGGGTGTGCCGAATTGGGTGTGCGGGACGCATGCGGGCGGCAGCACTGGGGCCTTCTGTGGGGCTCCCTATGGGGCCACGAAACGTGTGAGGGGTGTGCCGAATTGGGTGTGCGGGACGCATGCGGGCGGCAGCACTGGGGCCTTCGGTGGGGCTCCCTATGGGGCCACGAAACGTGTGAGGGGTGTGCCGAATTGGGTGTGGGTGACGCATGCGGGCGGCAGCACTGGGGCCTTCGGCGGAGCTTCTACTATGGGGCCACGAAACGTGTGAGGGGTGTGCCGAATTGTGTGTGGGTGACGCATGCAGGCGGCAGCACTGGGGCCTTCGGCGGAGCTCCTATGGGGCCACGAAACGTGTGAGGGGTGTGCCGAATTGGATGTGGGTGACGCATGCGGGCGGCAGCACTGGGGCCTTCGGTGGAGTTCCCTATGGAGCCACGAAACGTGTGAGGGGTGTGCCGAAATGGGTGTGGGTGACGCATGCGGGCGCGGGCACTGGGGCCTTCGGTGGAGCTCCCTATGGAGCCACGAAACGTGTGAGGGGTGTGCCGAAATGGGTGTGGGTGACGCATGCGGGCGCGGGCACTGGGGCCTTCGGTGGAGCTCCCTATGGAGCCACGAAACGTGTGAGGGGTGTGCCGAAATGGGTGTGGGTGACGCATGCGGGCGCGGGCACTGGGGCCTTCGGTGGAGCTCCCTATGGAGCCACGAAACGTGTGAGGGGTGTGCCGAAATGGGTGTGGGTGACGCATGCGGGCGCGGGCACTGGGGCCTTCGGTGGAGCTCCCTATGGAGCCACGAAACGTGTGAGGGGTGTGCCGAAATGGGTGTGGGTGACGCATGCGGGCGCGGGCACTGGGGCCTTCGGTGGAGCTCCCTATGGAGCCACGAAACGTGTGAGGGGTGTGCCGAAATGGGTGTGGGTGGCGCATGCGGGCGCGGGCACTGGGGCCTTCGGTGGAGCTCCCTATGGAGCCACGAAACGTGTGAGGGGTGTGCCGAAATGGGTGTGGGTGACGCATGCGGGCGCGGGCACTGGGGCCTTCGGTGGAGCTCCCTATGGAGCCACGAAACGTGTGAGGGGTGTGCCGAAATGGGTGTGGGTGACGCATGCGGGCGCGGGCACTGGGGCCTTCGGCGGAGCTCCCTATGGAGCCACGAAACGTGTGAGGGGTGTGCCGAAATGGGTGTGGGTGACGCATGCGGGCGCGGGCACTGGGGCCTTCGGTGGAGCTCCCTATGGAGCCACGAAACGTGTGAGGGGTGTGCCGAAATGGGTGTGGGTGACGCATGCGGGCGCGGGCACTGGGGCCTTCGGTGGAGCTCCCTATGGAGCCACGAAACGTGTGAGGGGTGTGCCGAAATGGGTGTGGGTGACGCATGCGGCCGCGGGCACTGGGGCCTTCGGTGGAGCTCCCTATGGAGCCACGAAACGTGTGAGGGGTGTGCCGAATTGGGTGTGGGTGACGCATGCGGGCGCGGGCACTGGGGCCTTCGGTGGAGCTCCCTATGGGGCCACGAAACGGTGTACTGGGTGGGTGAAGAGGAGAGGAGGAGAGGAGAGGAGGAGAGGAGAGGAGAGGAGAGAAGAGGAGAGGAGAGGAGAGGAGAGGAATGATGATGATGATGATGCTGATGATGATGATGATGATGCTGCTGCTGATGATGATGATGATGATGATGATGATGATGCTGATGATGATGATGATGATGATGATGATGCTGATGCTGATGCTGCTGCTGCTGCTGATGATGATGATGATGATGATGATGCTGATGATGATGATGATGATGGTGATGATGATGATGATGATGATGATGATGATGATGATGATGATGGCAGGAGGGATGGGGGCAGCGGGAGGAGGAGGAGGAGTGAACGCGGGGCGCTGTCTCTTCAAAACGAGGACCCAACACCACAGGATGGTTGGGAACAAGTCATCTGAGCCCTCCGGGTGACTTGTTTTAGGCCCCAGGTGCTTTCAATATTGTTCAAACCAGGGGGAGCAGACAAGCGGCGAGAGGCACACCGCAGACCCACCATAGCCGTCTGTGGCGTTCCGATTGCTGTCCAGGCGGACGTGGGGCGGAAGGCGGACGAAGCGGAGGAAGCGCCCGCCTTCCAACTTCGGAAAGGCGGCCAGAAGAAGTCACCGAGGGCTTCGGGGTGACTTTTTCCTGGGCGGGGGCCCAACGTGGAGGCGCGCCAGGGGGACCTGCTGGTCGTGGACGAAGTCCACGGGTTCGCCCTAGTCAGCTACAACGCTTGCATTAGTGCGTGTGACAAGGGCGAGCAGTGGCAGCGGGCTCTGGCGCTGCTGAGCGAGATGTGGGAGGCGAGGCTGAAGCCTAACGTCATCAGCTACAACGCTGGGGTCAGCGCCTGCGATAAGGGCGAGCAGTGGCAGCAGGCTCTGGCGCTGCTGAGCGATATGCGGGAGGCGAAGCTGAAGCCCGACGGCATCAGCTATATCGCAGGGATCTGCTCGTGTGAGAGATGCGGCCTGTGGCGGCAGGCGTTGGCGCTGCTTGGCGAGATGCGGGAGATTAATTTGGAATCGAACTCGCTCAGTCACAACTTGGGCATCACAGCGTATGAGAGGTCGTCTCGCAACTCGGCAGGCTTCCCAGACTATCGTGGGATTGGTCTGTCGCGTTTTCGAGTATCTCGCGAAGCGCTTTGCGAGTGGGGCCCAGCTGGGCAACCATTGTGATTACTTGGGCGGATACCCGTTGTTTGAACTTGGCAGCAGGAATCCATTGCGCAGCAAGTCGTTGTAGATACGATTCTTGCGCCCTGATTGGCTTCAAGCGCTGGGATCAGTACGCGCGACAGAGGCGAGCGTTGAACGCGCGCCCTGCCGCTGCTCAGCGAGATGTTGACGCTGAAGTTGGAGCACGACGTCGACAGCTGCGCAGGGAGCTGCGAGGTGCGCATTCGGAGCCCAGCGCCACGGGTTGTGCTATGAGAGTGTCGCTGGCGGCTCGGGACGGGCCGCGGTTGTCGGGGCCGCCCCTCGTACCCATAGGTCGTGGAGCCATTCGCTGCCAGGGCTCGCCGTGGCCAGAAAAGCCAGTCGCTGCTTATTGTTCGACGTTCTTGAGGCAGGGCTGGACCCAAGCGCTGTTTTGCTAGACTTCGGCTGTGTTCTGTTTTTTCAGGTTGGCAGGGAGGTACAGGAACACAAGGAGAGCAAACCGAACACCAAAACGAACACAAAACGAAAAACAACGTTTAGGTCCAGCCCTGACTAGAAGCACAGCAGGATGGTGGGCAAGGGCCAGCGGGGAGCTCCCCGAGCGGCCCTGGTGCCGGGTGCGGAGCGCCAACATACCAGGGTCAGGGGCAACGACAGGGTAGGAACAGGCATAGGGGGGGATGAATCGACCCCCAATCGCCCATTGATCACCGATAGGTTCCCGATAGCCCCAACCTGCCCAGGAACGTGGGCACTCAATTTCACGGGCCTATCGCCGATCCATCGGCGAAGTATCGCCGATTCCAGGTCGATGTTTCCCCCGCTATGCCAGTCCCCCCTGTCGTTGCCCTCCACGGGGGGGGGGGGGGTCAGGCGATGCCCTCCTCTACGTCGCCGTCGTGGTCGTGGGCGCACATCATTCGTCGGTGTGGTCGTGGTCGTGCATGTGTCTACGGCAGGTTCGCGTCGTGTCGACCAGCGGCGACCCCGCCGCCCGCGTTCACCGTTGAACGCCGCCGCCGACCCAGAATCGGTCGATGTTGAACGATCTGACGTTTCGGAAACGGCTAATCATTCAAGGTTGAACGATCCTCGTGGTGTCAGGAACCAACGCCAGGGTCAATAAGACGGGAAACTGCCGTACCTTAGCTGCCCTGATACGCCCGCGTCGAAACGCAATACGTGCCGCGCTCAAAACGTTCGTGTTAACACGCTGCGTGCTGGCTCGGCACGTGTCGGTCCATTCTCTGCGAACGCATCACGCGCCAGACCTGCGTCCGCAACCTCCGTGCTGAGCTCCGCGCCAACACGCTACGTGTTGCGTGTTGTGTATTGGGGCAGCTAAGTGCCGTACTGTCGTCGGCGCCCTCCTGCGAGGGAGGACGTCGAGGCCGCCTTCGGCGACGCCAGCCTGCTCAGCGCAGAGGCCGGCGCCTGCGCGGGCCTGTCGGCGGCGTGCCGGCGGGCCCTGGAGCGCTGCGGCGGCAGCCTGCCGCCCCAGGAGCTCCGCTCGGCTTCCCGTCGGCGTCAGCGTCGGCGTCGGTGTCGCCGTATCCTCCGTCGTCGCTGTCGCCGCCGCCGCTTCCGCCGTCGCCGCCGCCGTGGCCGCTGCCGTCACCATCGCTTCCGCCGTCACCGTCGCCGTCACCGTCGCCGTCGCCGTCGCCGCCGCCGTCGCCGACGCCGCCGCCGCCGTCGTCGTCGTCGTCGTCGTCGTCGTCGTCGTCGTCGTCGTCGTCGTCGTCGTCGTCGTCGTCGTCGCCGCCGCCGCCGCCGCCGCCGCCGCCGCCGCCGCCGCCGCCGCTGTCGCCGCTGTCGCCGCTGCCGCCGCTCGTTGTCGGTGACGGCGGCGGGTGCGTCGTGGCGGCGGCGGTTGCCGCCACAGGAGCTGGAGCACGGGCTGTGCGAGCTGCTGTGCGCGGTCTGGGATGACGCCGCCTGGAGGCGCTCGGCGGCGCTCGCGAGGGGGCGGGGCGGACGGGGGGGTGGTCCTCGGGGAAGGTGGGGGCCCGCGTGGAGGGCAGCCTCTTCGTGCACGCCGTGGGATCGTGCACCACCGTTCCCGCTCGTTGCCTCCCGCGGGCTCGCTGAGCTCCCCTGTCGCCCTCCTGACCCGCCACGGGCGCGCTTAGCTCGACAACGGCGGCGGCGGCGGGATCGGCGGCGATGACGACCGATCGACCACTGGATCTCTCCAGGGCTGCCAGGATCTCGAGTGGCGGCAAGGGGCACCAGAGAGGCCTGACAACTTGCAACAACGCTCGAACCTCGATCTGCTGCCATCCTGGCCTTAGCTGCCCCGATACGCCCGTGTTGAAACGCAGTGCGTACCGTGTTCAAGACGTCCGTGTTAACACGCTGCGTGTTGGCTTAACGTGTTGGCCCGCATTTTAGCGAACGTGTCGCGCCATACGTACCTTTGCAATCTCCGTGTTGAGCTCCGTCCCGAGACCCCCGACGTCATGATTTTGTTTCAGCCTGGACCTCCAGAGGTCTGGGCTACTTCCCCAGGGCTGGCTTTCCAGGCCGAGTCTTTTTTTTTGGACGGCCCAGTAGAAGGGCCCCCAGAGGCAGACCATTTACGAAAATTGTCCGACGTGATTCGAAGGCTTACGCCGCATGACCGACCATCTGGATCCCTCGGAATCTGTACAACTGTAGACCAGAAGCGTACAGCAGCATGTCTTCACCGAGTGGCCCAGGCAGGCAAGGAGAGCATCCGCGACGAAGAAGAGCAGCAGGCTGAGGAATGCGCACCGACTAGCGGGCGTCGGAGGATCATATGGATTAGGGAGACTGATGCTCGCGGTGGTGAAGGCGCCCGCGTCGATGCGGCGTTCAAGCTGGTTGACGTCACAGGCTCGCCTAAGTCAAGGTGCTCCACATCCCTCCCAGACGGACTTTTTCATACGCCTCCCAGACCAGCCAGCCTTTTGCCCGGAACCCCCAGAAACCTCCAAGACAGCCCACATCACATCAGACCCCCTCCCAAATCAGACCAACCCCCCTCTTATGGTGAAATCCATGGTATTCTGTCACCTGGAGCTCTTGGGAGTCTAGGCGTCCAAGCTGTGGCCGTGAATGGGCCAGTTTAGGGCCCTTCAGTAAGGTTACGTTAGATGCTATTTGAGGCGTGTTGCGGGTCTCTTCGGTGCCTTTGGGTCCATGTTGGGGGCTCTTGCACGTTTCCGCAGCAGTCTCTGGTGCCTCTTGGGCGCTTTTTCGGCCCTCGTGGACGGTCTCCGGACCCTCGTGGGCTGTCTTGGGCGTGTGGGGCCCTCTTGTGGCCCTCTTGGACGTGCCAGGCGGCTTCCGTGGGCCGTCTTGGGGCCTACGAAGAGGTTTTCTGCCATCTCGAACTCTAGGGAGCCTTGGCGTCAAAAGTGTGTCCGTGACTGGGCCGTCTGCGGCTGGGACCTTTGGTCTGCAAGTCGTGTCCGTGATTAGGCCGTGTGGGGGCCTTCCTCTTCAGAGAGTTTTGGAGGCATCTCGTGGGTCACGCAGCAAGTCCCGCTATCGCGCCAGCCTGGCACCTTGGGTGGCAATTGCCTAAGAGCCATAACGCGCGACACCTCCTGTCCAGAGTTTGTGGGGCTGTAACAAGTGGGACGCTCGTCCGCGCTATGTCTTGAATGGAAACGATGAAGATGATGAGGGTGATGACGAGGAGAATGAGGACAATTATCTAGGGGATGATGAGGGGAAGGAAAATCGGATGAGGAGCATTGTGGCGCCTCTTCCTGCCGACCCTTCCAATCTGCTTATTCGCCCCCAGGCGTGTGCTCCCTCCTCTCCAGGTTGTTGCGGCATCCCCGAGCACTGCTTCTCTTTCCCTAGCGCGTGAGTCCGTTGTTTCTTGATTCCACGTGTCAGTTCCGTTTGCCCTGGTGCTTCCCGGAACGCTCGCGCAAAGAAGTCGCCGAGACACCTCGGGCCGCGTGCAGAGGGCGAGGCTCAGCGGCACCTGCTGCGGGAAGGGAAATCCCGCCTGCTGCGGGAAGGGAAATCCCGCACTGCAGGGTGCGGGCGGCACATCCCGCACCCAGGGTGGCGATTGACAGGGAGCCGTAATTCGCGGCACATCGTGCCCCGAGCTTGTTGGAGTTGTAGCATGCGTTCGTCCGCGCTTCGTCGGAGGTGTTGGGCACGAAGGTGGATGTTGATGAGGAGGACGAGGAGAGGATGAGACAGTGGTGGAGGAGGAGGATGAGCAGGAACGTTTGACGAAGATGGTTTTGTCATCTTCGCAATCGGATGTTTTATCATTTGGTTGTTGGGTCGAAGATGCGTATTCCCCCCTTCCCGAGTTGTTATTGCAATCCCGGAAATCTAGTCTTTCTCCCTACCACTTGAGTCCGTTGTTTTTTGGTTCCACGTGTCAGTTCCATTCATCCTTGTGATTCATTGGCTGACGCCGCACCGCCGACCCCTTGGGGCGGCAGTGCGAGTGAAAAACGGAGTTTGCGGAACGATTTCTGGGGAATCTTGGGGTTTCAGCTTCTTGGGATTTCGTCGGGGGCGGTTGGCGGATCGTGGCTCTGCTTTTGGGCTTCTCTGGGCTCATCTGGCAGCACTTTTCAAGCCTCTTGGGAGCCGTTTTGAGGCCTCTAGGAGCCTCTTTTGGGCCTCTCGGGGGCCTCGTGGGCCTTGTGATTCTCGGTCTGATCGCGCAGTGAAGTCGCCGAGACACATGCAAGGAACCGTGACGGGCGACAACTCGTGTACCGAGGCTGTGGTGAGCTGTAACACGTGGAACAGTCGTCTGGTTTGTGTCGTTGTTGGAAATGAAAATGAATATGTTGATAGGGTGTGAGAAGTGCGAGAAGAAACAGGTGGAGGTGAATGAGGGGGATGGGAATAGATGGGATGGTTGTGGCGGGGGAGGGGGATGACGGACATGATGATGGTGATGATGACGACGTTGCTGATGATGATGGTGGTGAGGACAGTGGTGGTGCTGATGGTGACGATGATGGTGATGTTGATGATGATGGTGATGAGGATGGCTTTGAACG